TGTGTGTGTGTGTGTGTGTGTGTGTGTGTGGGTGTGTGTGTGTTAGAAACATGAAAGTTGAATTTGAATTTATTATATCAAGCATCACTGGTATCCTTATGAACTTTATAAATAAATAATAATGGCAGCTATAAAGGTGTAAACTCTTGATAAATAATTAAAAGCCCCACTATATAAAACAAATAAACTGACTAGAAAAAAACTTTGTAAGCAACCAGTCAAAAACTGCATGTATTTGAATGTTATGTCTGCCTTAATGTATAGCATCTATTAATTGATTTATAAAGGTTTAATGATACATTTTAAGCCATTTCCAAATTTGTAACTACCAGAAACCACATTTAGAAAAGTATCCTTAATGTAAAGTTGTACCAAAAGCAAAACTAAAAACACAACTTCTATCATATTTCAGCAATCAGTGTCCAAAACAAAAGCCTTTAAAGGCAAAGAGTAATCCGCATAAATGCTTTTCAAATTTTCATATCCTCATCCATAACCATAAATCTCCATAATGGCWGAAAAACCAATGGCTGTACTAAAGTTTAATTATCACAATGAAAAGCAAAAACTAATTGCAGCAGAAGTGTGGGAGGATCAGCGTGATGAAAAGAAAYTGCAGTTGGATGCAGAGACATTACTGAAGATGACAAATGAATGCTACATGTCATAAATGTTCAGAAATAGAATAAAATAAATAATGTGGTTTAGAGTAACCAACCATGAAAACAATACAGGGCTGTTGTTTTTTTATGATATTTCAATCAAAGCAAAATTAGTTTAAACAATTTATTTTTCATTTTGCAGTATGTTAGAAGTCTCCCTGTCTTTCTTTCTTTCATCCACTATATTAATTATTTTTCTGTAAATGTTTGACATTCATTCAACATTTTTCTCCACCACTCTTCTCCGCCATGTCTCTCCATTTTCTCTCTGAGAGCAGGTCATTATTTTTATTTTGTTTAGAATCCCAGAGTCGCAAATTGCTGCGAAATGTATTCTTGTGTGTCACTTTATTCAAACCAGTYTAAGTGTCATTGTTCATTACACTGGTGCATTGTAAACCTGCCCACAATCMTTTTCTCACCATGACCAACTTGAAAATGTAACCAGTCATATTGCCTAAAATAAATCAAACAGCAAGTGAAACCAAGGGCAAAACCGAAGTCAAACAGACAATGATTTCAATGAGGGGGTAAAAAAAATCATTCACTTTTTTCTTCAATTGTACTTAAATTTAAGGTCATTTTTTTCCCTCACAGTATATTCTTCCAATTAAAAAAAAGAATTTATTTTATTTTTTTTTTTCTGGCAAAAAAAAAAACAAGTAAATGAACAAGTAAAACAAACATCACAACTTGTGCTGACTGTGTGCTCGACTGTGCTTCATCAGGCAGCTGTCTGATAATCAATAAAACAAGCACGCAGCACGTCTGATCACTGATAACGCTGCCCTCACTCGGTGTCAAATCAAAATTGTTTTCTGCTTTTTGTTTATATGATCTAGGGAATTTAAATAAAATAAAAACATTACATCTGTTTTCTAAAAGGAATTAGAACTTAAAGACATGCATGAGTTTATTAATCTGTTTGTTGACAATGTTCAACTTGAAGTATGACATCATGACTTTTTGTGTCACAAGTGACCATGGCAGGGTAAAAGTGTTAATAATTAAAACGTGATTGAGGACAACTGAGTCTTTACAACATTTYAATGTGTTTTGAATAAAGACACATGGACCAAGAGGCATAAACTTCTTGCAGCTATCAGCAGTTTTATAGCAGAGTCTAAAACTGAGCATCGCCTAATAAAATCAGAAACCATGACTGCTACTAACAGAATATCCATACATCATATAAATTAAAATAAATCTCAAGGGTAAAACCACTATTAAGCCTTGAGTGCACATTTAAGCAGAGAATTATAAAGTACAACACGATGGCAACATGGCCAGTTTTAATCATGACAAATACAAATTACTAAAGAAATACCAGAGTAACTGACTAGAAAATCTCTCCTCAGCAACTTAATCATGCACAGGTGCTTGTTAATGTTTCTCCACTTTTAGCTCTGCATTAATGGCTTTCTATTAAAGCAAATAAAAAACCTTTTACTTTACCATAACAGTGCACTTTGTTCTCAAACTTCATGTTTGTGTTTAATAGCTGAATAGAAGCTGCCAGCTCTCTTGTGGAACCAGCTTCTCGTTCCAGGAAGTGAACACCCTCTCTAAGAGCTAGACAAAAAAAAAAAAGGTTGTAGTAAGGATTTGCTTAGGTGACCCTAAACCACTTCTTAGCTGTGCGGCTGTATTCTTAAGCTGCTGGGAGACACCTCGCCTAACCTCCCTGTCAACTCTTCTCTATGTGTGCATGTTTGTTATTATTATTGTCAGTAACATTTTTCTTTAATTTTTCTTTTCCATCGCAAATATTGTGATTTTGTGTTGTATATATAATCTCCTTGTGGCAGATGTTGATGTTAAAGGCTTTCATTTTAGAATCTACAAATAGTTCAGTTTGATGGAAAGCAATGTAAGTGTGTGAATAGTATTGTTTTTAAATGTAGATATGCCAAATAAAATTACTTTTTAAATACAACTGAGTCAAAATGGCAGATTTTCTTGGTCTAGTATCTTCTTAATTCTAACCAATTTGTATTCTGAATTAGGTTTAATTCAAAATACTCTGAATACCTGTGTTATTATGAGTAAATTGTAAGCTCCATGCCACAAGAAAGGCAGCACTGACTAAGCAAAGATACACTTTAAACCGCGGATTAAGGTTTTACACTCCTCAGACTTTACGTTGCAGAAAAGTGATTAGYGAGAGCCGTCATAGTGAGCACACAGACACAGGCGTGGAGTCACTGTTCTAGCCGTGTAAGGTTCAGAGGCAAAAAAAAACAACAAAAAAAACAAAGAGAAAATCCATCAACACACAAAAATGTTTCTAATGTTTTGGCAGATGGACATCAATACAAAATATAACAAGGTTGAACCAGGACCAGGATTAGTGCTAATGTTCTAAACTGTATGGACAGGCAGCTCAGAGCCACGCTCATAATCTAATAAATAAATAAATAAATAAATAAATAAATAAATAAAGACAAGATGGAAATCAAAATAAAAAAAAATGTGTTCTAAATTTTCTAAATATACACAGTTGCATCTGCAAGTCAGGTGCAAATCTGATTACAAAGAAATTTTCTTGAAAACCACCTGCATGCTAAAGCTTCCACACCTTTTAGAAACCGACACAACAGCAAAACCTCTTTCTTTCCTTCCCTATTTTATTTTTTGTAAAAATACTGAAGACTAAATGCGTATCTTTGTTTCTATAACAACTCTTCGCAAGAAATCTCTTCAAACTATGACCCAACCTGATTGGAGTGATTCAATGGAAAACAAAATAAATGTTTTTATAAGGAGGGGGGAAAAGTTAAAGTTGACACAAGTCTTACATGGATTCAGAGAAGCACAAAAAAAATGGATTTCAGTCCAAATACAGCTGTTCAAAGTTTGAGCGTTAAACCTATTTCAGCTCTTTAGGCTCATCGCCCAGCTGGACAATTAGCGCATTTCCAACAGGGAGCGCAGAGGTGACAGCTTTGCCAAATAGGACAGAGATCAGTGTGTGCTCAAGGGAGGATTGCGTCTAAGTAGCTGCATCAACTCAAAAAAAAAAAAAAAAAAAAAAAAAAGCCCAGATGGACATAACCTCGAACGCACCTCTCCCGAGATCAAAGCACCACAATACGAGGAGACGCCCGAACATTCCTCGGATGAGCGCACAGAGGCAAGGACGCTGATGATGATGAATGAATCCACTGACTGCAGACATTTAAAAAAAAAAGTAGAGCCATCACATGACTCTGCATTCCACAGGACCTGAATCAGAGGCTCTGCCTCGCCATTTCGGCTGAAAAAAAAAATCAGGTTCTCCTACCTCACTCCGTCCGTGTCTCCATCCCACTCGCGCGCGTGGTTCTGCTTTGCCTCAGCATCCCAAAGCACTGCTGCTGCTCTCGACTGGAGGTGGGGTGATTGGTGGATGGGAGAGAGAGGGAGGAGGGGGGTGGGGCGGGGGGGAAGCGAAGCGTGACGATAATGCAATGAGGCTGACGGGGAGGAGCCGACCAATCAGCGCGAAATCCGATAAATTCCTGACCAATCCGCGGTGAGAGAGAGGAGAAAGCGAGGGCTGCGCGCAGCAGCAAGGTAGACTGACGCTGTGGGAGAACTCGTGCAAACTGTTTCCAGTCAACACTTTCCTGCTGCAGATAACAGCTTGAGTGAGTGTGAACCCCCGTCTGTGAGCTGGGAGGAACTTGGGGTGTGTGAGTTTGTTTACCTGAGTCAAAATAAGAAAGCATTTTAAGATGAGGTCATCATTTTAAGCTTTACACGTCTGCTGAGGAATTTACAATGTGAATGCTGATCCAGCAATTCTGATCATTATTTCTGCTATATCAAAAATGTTTTTTTTTTCAGGATGACTTTTGTTGTTGTTTTTTGTAACATTTATACATTTTGAAATATTTAACTTTGTTTACATTTCCCCCTATAGAAATGCGCTGAGAACTTTTCAATTCCTTCAAACCATTTTTTCTGATATCTGCTACTCACTTTTTATCATGTTATGCAACTTTAGATATAGCTAGCATTTTACTACATTTAGCCTAGCTTTTTGTTGCTAATTTTAGCTTATAGCTAGCTTTTGTTGGCTGTGAAAAGCACAATGAACCAACAGTGAAATGGAGACAAGGAGTGTATAAAAGAACATTAATCAGTTGACAATGGGGAACACCTGGGGAGAGAAAGGAGGAACAGGTGAGCATGGGCGGGGCCAAGGAAGAGACAGGAGAAACAAAACTGACATAGGGAATAATGAAACACTAGAAAGAGAACAAGAAATAAAAGCACAGGAAAGAAACACACACAAAAGCTTACAGTAATACGGCCAATTAAATAAACGAACAACCTTTTGTACACTGTCTTTTACTGCTCACTCTTTAACCCATTTATTACAATTTTTTTGTCCCTGACATGAAAATATCCAAACCAGATGTAATTGGTAGCCTTTTGAACTAATCAAAAATAATAAATAAATAAATAAATAAATAAATAAACAAACTTGAATTATGTATGACAAAGTGTGTATTAAGACCAGTGGGTTAATGTGTGGTACTCTCACTTAGATAAGCTAATAGTGCTTTTCACTAATTGAAAAATAACATATTATGTGAACAAGGTTTCTTTATTTGAATATAACTTGCCACAGCATGACTTTAGTGCAACATTTGTAACTTTTTTACGAAGATTCAAGCCATTATTGATTTATAGATCCATGAATTTGTGAATTATATTAAAAAAATTAAATAAAAACACATTTTAGATGTTGTAAGTCCACTTACAAAGCTTGCTAGCCCACTAGAACTGTTTGTTTGGTCTCCCGCTTTGAGTCAGCTAAAACTTTGCTGTGTTCCATTTAAATAGGAAGTTGATGCAAGCACATGTGTTGCAGGAGCTGTACTTCTGCAAGAAGATGATCAAGGTGTGGATCATCCAATTTGTTACTTTCCAAAAAAAAGTTTAATAAACACCATCAACATTACAGAACAATAGAAAAAGAAGCCTTTTCATTGCTACTGACTTTACAATATTTTGACGTTTTCATTGGATCCAGTCCAGGTATTCACAGATCATTATCCATTTGTTTTATTTTCCAGGATGAAAGACTCGAACCACCGACTTATGTGTTGGTCACTTTTGGTGCAGGACTTTCATTTACAAATAAACTACAAATAGGATAAGAAGAAAATGTTAGCATACACCTTAGGTCTGTGTGTAAAATGTAGCTGTTTGGGAAAATTAAACCTATTTTTATGATATAACATCTATATCATCTGCTTCTCCTATCGTCAAAAGGTGGTTAATTGAATTTCCGATTATTATCTCACTTTAGCCCTGACAAATAATAAATATGTAGAGAAACAAAGAAATGGATAATGTTTCACATTTTTATTGCTCCAAGATAAGCAACATAATAGGTGAACCAGCCCAACAGGATGACATGATCAGAAACTGTCCTGTACAAAGGAAGGTACAGAATGACGTCTAATCTAAAAAAAAAAATAACATCTTATTATTGCAAAATATTTCTCGTTGAAAAATAGGATACAAATGTCTAAAACAAACATGACTTTCACCAATTTACTCATGTATAATATATACTTTCAAAACCATAAATAAAATTTTTCCAAGACAATTTTCGTTTGCACACCAGGTGCTAAAACAAGTGTTTTGTTGAAAAAGTAGTCCTGACAGAAATGATACAAAAACCCAACAGACAGGCTGTTTTTTTTTTAAATCTAGTATGCATAAATAAAAAATGGAAAATTTTAATTAAACTGATTACCATTCATGTAAAATAACAATATGACATCCACGAGCAATTCGCAAATTTAGATTTTAGATTCAAGGTTCATGAACAGCAATTAATAAGAGCTCCTCTGACAAATACCACTTTTAAAATGAATGACAGTCGATGGAGAAGCAGTAACACTTTTCTTGTCGTGTCAAATATTAAATATCAGAGAAAAAACAAAGTGAAATGGGAAAATGACACACTGGATAAGCCACACTGCTGCACAGACACACTGTTTCAAGTTTATGCTCACTTTTTTTACACTTTATCTACCTGCACTTTACACTTTACAGTCACAACCTTCTGTTTCTTGCAATTTACAAATATATACAGTTTCCTTTCCTATTCTTACATTCACATTCCTTTTTTAACCACTTAACTGCATGACCTTCAGCTGATCACTTTCTTGTTTCAGGACAGTTCTTTCTTACTTTACCAAAAAAATCTTTGTTTTATAGAATGTATTTAACTATACTCTGTACAGGAGAGGTTATATTTCAAAGGACACTTCTGGGAACAGCCTTTCTGTGCTGGTGTTTAGGAGATGAAGGGGAACTGTCTGAAGGGGGCCACTGTGGTTTTGTTAGCTGAATTTCTTCCTCGATTTTAAAGGCTTTCTTTGGTGAATCGCTCTGCGGGGGCCAAACGACGGATATTTTGTTACTGTGGGGTTTGCTCTCATTAAATGTTTTTGTCATTTCAATTTCACCTCTGTGGGGTTTGTCTAGTGAATATAKGCTGCTCATGGAATATCGGCGTTCAAGGGTCTCATCTGAAAGGATAGATCCACCACTTCCTGAGGGAGGCTTCTGTCCAAGACCGTTACTGTGGTTCCCTGTGGATTTGAGGAGTTGTCTGTAATGGGGTAGGCAGTATAAATGTCCATGAAGTGAGACATAGTTTCCCAGGCTGCAAAAATAAAACAATAAGCAAACAAGTAAATAACATGAGAAATAAAATAAAGCATAAAATAAACAAATAAAGATTAAAAATGTCATATAAAAGAAGCAAAATGGGCCTCTTGATGAAACCGAAACTTTTACCTTAATTTATTGTTGCAGTGCTCACAGCAGAAACAGGATTTATGGTACTTTTTTCTGTCCACTATCAGAGCATCCATTGGATAAGCTCTCCTCCGGCAAACCGTGCAAAGTTCTGAATTCGGAACTCGGGTCTGTTTCACAAAGAGATAAAATGCAAATCACTTGTTTTATTTATTTATTTATTTATTTATTTATTTATTTATTTATTTATTTATTTATTGAAAATGATCTCATGAGCTGTGATTAGCATTTTGGGGTGCCACTTCATGCAGCAAACTGGACTCTGGTTAAAAATGGAAGGTAGCAGTTTACTGTCACTTGAAAATACATGTTTAATCAAAATCTCACTTCTTCAGTTTTTTTTTGTGGAATTACTTTCACAGGGTTTTTATTTTTCAATCAAACATGCAAAACTAAACAAMTGTCCCAAACTCCCAAATTATAATTGTCCTGTTAGAAGTGTACATTAAATGGCTTTATGTTCTTCAAAATATAGTCAAATTTTTTATTGTTTATTTTGAAGAGTATGGCAAATTAGGCTTTTATTTCTTGAGCTTTCTTYGGGGAGTTTTTCATGAAAAGAACTKTTACTTGAATTGTAACCTAATTTTGTTCAACTATTTGTTGACTGGCAGTCGATTAGCAGTGATCATCTTGGTGTTTTTTTAATCATAAGTTTTCTTTTTATTATTGTTTTATTTAGTGTTACATTTGTACATATTTAAACTGATTTGGTACACATTGAGTGTTTCATGTTGCGTCTTTTATGATGTTGTTTTAATTGATTTCTAAACGTAAAGCACTTTGTAACRTTTGATTAAAAAGGTGCTACACAAAAACAGTTGATGATGGGTTGATGATGACAAGTGAAGTGCAGGAGACAATGCCAATCAAGAAACTACACAAGATAAAATAAATCCTGCTAAATTAATCACAGATTGTGCATTTGAAAATTAATTTATGTGTATTTTAACTGTAGTGTCAGATTCCATGTATAAAAAGTAAAAGKTTTTGTTAGGAAGTGACATCACCACAATGGCTGTATTTTGTAAGATGTTCTTAGGGGCATTATTTCCTTTTTATAGCTTCAAATATAATCACATCAGACTAAAACACCAGTATATCAATAGCCAAAATGGAAAACTCGAGATTTCATTAAGTAATATTCTGTGTTGCTGCCAGAGCTGCACCATAAATCACTGGCTTRTGCTTGAATTAAATGGGTTGAGGTAAGGCCTGGCTGTATTTAACCAAAATCAAATGGACTACAAATAGTAAAAACAAAAACTACAAATGTGTCTTTACTGTCTGAGATTCAGTTCCTATCGTTCGTTGTAAGTGGCTGTTAAAACAACTTGTATCATTTGCTAATGTCACATCTCTGAAAGCAATAATAATAAGTTGCTAAAAAAGACAGATTCAGTGGACAATTTTTATATGTTTAATGCATCATTTGTTTATTTTTTTTACCAGAAATATGAATTCTGCCCATCATGAGTTCTGTTGCTCCATAGAAGATGAGAGCAACCAGAGCAGCAACTACCTAAGGTGTAGCTCACACTTCAGATTGCACCATATTCCTGAGACTGAATCCAAGTGGCAGCAACATGCCATGACATACGACATGTAAATCATGTTAAAGGTCTAATTGTCAAAGGTCAGTCCACTGTGGCACAAACGAGACGTGCAAAAATCACTCACCTCCTATTACACATTGATTCACAATTAATGACCTAAGAAATAAGTAATTAGTAAAGCTATAGCCTGCATGCCTCTCTGTCAGGGTTGGAAATTACTTTGAACTGCAGAAACCACAGTCCATGCATTTATTTTCTTCTCTCTCATGCCACAAACCTTTACCCGATAAAGTCTCCATCTGATGTGACACAACTTGTGATGTTGTTTCCTCGGAGACGGTGTAGCCAAGATTCTTGAAAACTGCCTCGCTCTCCGTCCATGTTTTATGAAAATTCCTCAGTAACCTTTCTGTAGCGTCTTCGTCATAGGTTTCCGTTCGTCTGGCAGCTTTTCTTTTAACGGCTTCAGCATATGAAAAAGGTGTCTGTTGGCTCGAGATGCTTTCAGAGTGCTGAGTGACAGCCGTCAATGTCCCGGTGACCTTGTTACCAAATTCATCAACATTCGAGAAATGTTCTGTGACAGTTTTAGCTTCTGAGAAGCCTGACGGTTGTGCAGGAACAGTTTCTACCTCTGTTTTTTGAAAAGGCAGAGGGGTGCTTTGCCTTGAGCCTCCCTTTGTCTCTAGGGGGCTTTCCCGCTTTGAAGTGCCTGCTGCTGTTTCATTCAGACTTGACACGAGCTCCTCCTGATCCCTTTTCTCCTCCCTGATTGAAGATATTGGCTCACCCAGTTCAAAAACATTTTTAATAGCCTGAATGTTAAAACTTGGCATTTCCTGCTCTAAGATGTTGGCTCTTTCTGTATCACAATCTGTGCACTCGGTGTCACTGAGAAGGCATTCTGCAAGTTTCTCTTCTGGGGATTCAAATTTGTTTACAAGACCAGACACATCAGCCCTGAGAGGCTCATCTTTTTCTTTATTCCTTTTGTCAGCCTCGCACTCCTCCATCTCAGGGCCCAGGCGTTCACTTATTGTGAYGGGCTCCTTACGCATATAAACCTTTTTCATTTCAGCTTTTTGTACTTCTTCGAAGAACTCTCTCTTTTCTCTGACAGATGCAGAGGATAGCTCATCATCATGGGATTCTTCTGCAAAATCTGTCTCATTGTCATCTGTTGGTGCTTGAGTTTCAGACCTGCTTAGGATGCTGTTCACATTTGAATCCTGACTTTCATTCATTTCAGTTTGTTGAGTTTCCTTGTACAAACTCTCTGTAGGTTTKTTTGTTCCAGTTAGCATCTCAGAAGCCTCTGCTATCTGGGAGTCGATTCTGATTTGCCGGTGGAATGTAGCAGGAGACTCCACTCTCTCTGATTTCTTCTCTGGGATTGGACTGGCGAGCAGGGGTGGAGGGGTCACGACCCGTGAGAGCTTTGCTGTCGTGTCTTTAAGCCGAGCCAAATTTTCGGCCTTGTCAAACGTGGGCGACGGCGTGATTCTGGTAATGCGTGATGTTGGAGTGTCGCACCTGCGTGGCGGGGGCGTTGGAGGCGTTGGTGGCCTGTGCAGCAATGTTGGCGACGGAGTCACTCTCTGCGGGGAGTCGGTTCTTCTTATTGACTCAATGGTGATGAATGTCGGGGACGGTGGGCGCATCCTGAGTGAAGGCGAGGGAGCTCGAAAGTCCACAGATTTGCACAAAGTTACTTCTTCCTTCTTGCTTTCCTGGGAAGTCGTTTTCTGACTTTGGGTTTCGGTTTTGGAAGAACCAATGCTGATCTTTGATATTCTGGTTGTGKCTGCAAGGCCAGAAGCCGATTTCTCTGAACCTAGCTCACGTTCATGTGTCTCCATTGTTTCCCCTGCCAGGTGCATGAGTTTATTTTCTGCAAGTTTCCTTACATTTGAAAGAATCTCTTTGTTCTTTTGAGCATCACTTTGGGCTGTGTTTTGTTCCAGCTCACGCTTCCTGTCAGGAGTTAGGAGCCAGTCTGGCAGTGAGTTTAGTAGACTTTTCACAGATTTAGAATGAGCCTTTTCTGAAGTGCTTTGGATCTCTGTGATTTGWGAGATTAACACTTGGACCTCTTGTCTCTGAGATTCCTTTGTTCTCCCTGTTGTTGATTTTGCAAGTTCATTTTGTTCTGACTTGACTGTCACAGTAATTGGGACATTCCTGCTTTCTTTGGCTTGTTCCTTGGCACGCTGCTGAGTAACTGTCACTCCTTTCTTCTGAGACCCCCTCTCTTGTATTTGAAATATWTTTTTTTCCAGGCAATCCTGGTCGTCTTTGCTGTCAGCGGCAATGAYGTCTCCCTTGATTTGAATATTCTGTTCTTTAATACTTTTGTGAATTTCTTTGACAGCAGTTGCTTCCTGTTTTGATTGAGTTATTTCAGATTTGATTTCTGTCAATTCTGTCTTTGACTCTGTGAGAATGTCTTTACCTTGACCTTGCTGTGCAGCCCCTTTAGACTTCTTGGATTTCTTTTTCCTCTTTGCGGGAGTTGGAGGTTCCGGTTGGATATCAGTGTTGCCTGCAGGAGTTGATACAGCAGGAAGAGATGAAGAAGATTTTCTTATCTCCTGCTTAGTCTCTGCAGCTTCTTTCAGAACCACTTTCGAATCTTGTGACGCACTCTGCTTCTCGCTCTCATCAGGCGTTTTTATCCCTGCTTGCTTCTCTTGTTTGTTGTTGTTCTTTTTCATCTTTTGGTTTTGTTTGCCTGTCTTCTCATTTGTATTTGGAGCTACGTTGTCTGTTTGCATTGGCTGACTGGAGACGTCGTTGGCTAACTGCTTTGTCTCAGTTTCAGCTTTCGCTTCTTGAGTAGTGGTTCTGTTCTCTTTCGTGTCTTCTGATTTGTTGGAGCTTTTTGTTTTCTGATTTTTAGAATCTTTCCTTGCTTGTCCTGATATGTTTTCTGTTTTGTCGACATCAGTGATTGAGGTGTGAATTTTACCAGAGAGGCTAGAAGAAGCAGATTGTTTTGAAGAAGAAGTAAGAGCTCCCTGTGTTGTTGTTGTTGTTTSCGTGTACTGTTTAACAGCTGTGGCAGATGAAGTCTTCTGCACAGAGACAACATTAGACATCTCGTTTGTTACAATTTGTTGCTTAGTAGAAATTAAAGTTGCAAAGTCTGCAGTGATTTTCTCATTTTGGGTATTATTTGAGACAACAACCTGCTTGGATGAATCACATGCTAAAGAGTCTGAATGAGCACTTATTGCTGCCTTTTCATCTCTTTCCTGTTGGATTTCTGAGCTGCTGTAATCTGGCTGCTCTTTAGCGGAGAGCATTTCCAGAGCGGCGCTGACAGACTCGTGTAAGAAGGTGGGAGACGGAGTGGTTGGAGGAGTGTTTTCCTCTTTCAGCTTCCTGAATTTTTCTTCTGCTTTTATTAACGGTGTGTTGAATTTACTGGTTTTACCTCTCATGGAAGGAGGAGGGGAGGGTGGTGGAGTAAACCTCATCGGAGCAATGTAAACTTTTTTCAGAGGCCCCAGTGACTCTGGTGGTGGAGGAGGGATTGCATGAGGCATTATTTTCATGGTTTCAGTAGTTTTGATTTGGTTTTGCCTTATTTCCACCCTTTTCTCCGTTGTTGCCTGCACGTGTGTTTTACTGAATTCCACTTTGGATTCAAGTTTCGGAACTTGGTGCAGCGCAGGAGCTTTAACTTTCTTCACTGTCATTCGTTTTGCCTTTGTTGGCTGCGCTGGCAAGCTCTCCAGTTCTCGTTGGGTTGGAGGAGGTGGGAGGTAGTCCTGGTCCTCCGGGAGAGGTGGTGGAGGTGGTGGGGGAGGAAGGTGATCAGTGTCAGTGTCGGCGGTGGGAGGAAGAGGACTGGGTGGAGATGGAGGGAGAAGGTCAGTGTCTGCCACTGGTGGAGGTGGCAGAGGTAGCTCAGGTTCTGGTGCAAGTGGCTTTAACATATAATCATCAGTTGTTACTCTGGTTTTGCCCAGTTTTATCATCCCCTTTGGCTTCGATTTGAGATTGCGGAACTCTGTTTTTACAGTTTTGATGCCGTGGTTTTGCGTAATAGTTCGGTGCTCCACCACAGTCGACTTCTCCACCTTTACTTTAACATCTGCTTCATTGGAGAAAGAGTGAATTTCTTTGGATGTTTCAACCTGTTTTGCAGTTTTTATCTTTTGTGCATTCCTCTGTGCATCAGGTTTTAGGTTTTTCACTGAAGGGCCCTGCTTCACTCTAACCCTTCTGTACGCACCGTGCCTGATTTTGGGAGTTTCCCGCTGTGCTGTTTCCAGCAGTGATTTAATGGTGCCTTTAACATCACCCTTAACCACCTCTTCTTTTTCCACCTGGCCCTGCTCCTGTGTTTCATATAATGACTTTATCGACATTTTGACATCCCCTTTCACATCCCCCTCGAAGCTTAAGCTCCGTTGCATTCTCGGTGAGGGTGGAGGCTCCATAAAGAGCTGAATCGTCCCTTTCACATCTCCTTGAACATCTATTTCCTGTTGGTGTGTTTTCTTTTCACTGGAGGCATCTTGTAGATTTTGCATTGCTGTGTGAATATCACCTTTCACAATCTCTTCCTTTTCAAGCTCCCTCATTTCTTGCTTTGCCCGTTCCAAGGATTTCATTGTGGCCTTCACATCTCCGGGAACTAAATCATCGACAGCAGCTTCAACTCTGGATGTTGCTGATTTTTCAAGAGATCTCAGAGCCCCTTTGATGTTTCCTGGTATTATATCGGGCTTTTCGACCTCTTTGCTGTGTCTCTGAGCCTTCTCCAAACACTGCAGAGCTTTTGGGATGTTGCCTTTCACCACCTCCTCTTTCTCAACAACCACTGTCTGATTTACTGATTCAGACAATGAGTTTAAAGCAGCCCGTAAATCTCCTCTGACTATCTCCTCCTTTTGGGTTCTTTCTAGTGACACAGTTGGCTCAGACATGAACACTTTCAGCGTGTTGTGAACATCTCCTGGTATAACATCCTCTACCGTGCGCTCAATTTGCATTTGATTCTGAGTAAGGATGGATTTGGTGCCTTTGATGTCACCCCCAATGATCTCCTCTTTCTTTGCTGTGTCAGGGAGCGTCTCATCAGGGTCTAATTGCAGCTGTTTAAGATAGTCGAGAGCCCCAGATTCAATGCATGTAGAGTAAAAATGGACATTTCCTTTTTCCATATCATCAATCTTTATCTTCACTGCTTGATCTGCTTTGTCTGAGCTTGAAAGTCTTTCAAGAGCACTCTTTATATTCCCTTTAACAATATCTTTATTTTCAACATTAACATTTTCAAGTTTGTGCAGGAGGGAATAAATTGTCATCTGCACGTCTCCTTTTTCGTCTTCCTGGATGAGTATTCCCTGTTTTGCTGTTCCACTCTCATCAAACAGACTGTTAATGGCTTCTTGAATGTCGCCACGCAGTATTTCCTCCTTTTCAATATTGCTAGCTCGTTCTTGGCTGAATAGTTGCTGCACTGTTGAGCTGATATTACCCTTCTCATCTGAATCTATGACTATTTGCCGCTCCTTATTTTCTTGTCTGTTCAGAAGGTTCATCATTATAGTCTGCAGATCTCCCCTGATGATTTCTTCTCGCTGGATCTCTGGAGTCTGCTTATTCATTAGTTGGTATTTTGCCATCCTTACATCGCCAATTTCATCAGCTTCAATTAATATTCCCTTTGACTTCACCATTTTCTGACTGTAAAGTTCCTCAAGAGTTCCCATGACGCTTTTGCCCAGTATTTCAGTTTTTTCTATTTTAGTCTCATTAAATGCATCAAATGGTGTAGTTTCAAAGAGCCATGTTGTTGTTTTTACATCCGCTTTGGGAATCTCCTTTGGAAAGACGGTTTCATGCTCATCCGTATCCGTCTCTTTAATGTGGTCAAGGGGGGTTTTCTCAAAAAGCCAGACTGAATTTTTGACATCTCCCTTTTCAACATCTTCCCTTTTAACTGCTTTAATTAGATTGTCAGAACTCATGCTTTTTATTTTGTCAATAGACTGCGTTTCAAATTTCCACTTAGCAGTCCTGACATCACCCCTCTGTATTTCACTTACATTAACAGTCCTAACTAATGCCTCTGACGTGGTGTCATTCTCAAAACGCTGCTTATTCACTTGAACATTGCCCCTTTGAATATCTTCCACCGTTTTTACCAAAGACTTCTTCTCATCAGCAATCATATCAAGAGGTTGCGTCTCAAATTTCCACTTGGCAGATGTGACGTCTCCTTTTTGCACATCCTGCTGTGTTACAGATTTTATTAAATAAACTTCATCTGTGTCTTTAATAGCATCAAGTGGCTTGGTTTCAAACAACCATCGAGTTCCAACAACATCTCCTTGTTTTACCTCTTCACTTGTGACTGTGGTGACCTCATGATAATGGCCTTCTTTGTCCTGAATAGCATAAAGGGGCTGTGTTTCGAACAGCATTGTGTAATTTCTCACGTCACCCTTCTCATCCTCGTCACAGACAATCTTTTGGCTTTTTATTCCTTCTGTTTCAGAGGAAACCTCTTGGATTTTATCTAATGAATATGTCTCAAAAATAAAACGACCCTTTCCTACGTCTCCTCTTAGTACATCGCTCACGGTGCGGCTGCACAAATCTTTCTCTTGGCTGTCATGTATGGTATCAATAGATTGGTTTTCAAAAAGCCATTTGCAGTTTACAACGTTTCCTTTTTGTATGTCTTCTGTCTGAACTCTCTTGAGCCTTTGCATCACTTCCTCAGATGTAGAAGACATGATTTCAGATGTTTGGTTTTCAAAAATATACTTTATCCTAGACACATCTCCAGATGAAATGTCTATCTCTGTAACACGTTTATAAGAGCCTTCCTCCTCCCCAGTGAGGTCCTCCAGATTCTCTGTCTCGAAGAGAAAACAAGCCATTTTCACATCTTTTCCTCTGATCTCCTCTTGGTTTAAAGTGCGCGTTTTCAAAACGGTTTCTGTTCCATCACGAATAGCATCAAGCGCTTGCGTCTCAAACAGCCACGTGCAGGTTTTGACATCTCCCTTTTGTATTTCCTCAGACTCATTCTCACCTTTTAGCGCCACTCTTTCATACAGGATGTCCATTGGTTTTGTCTCAAACAACCACTTGCAAGTTTTCACATCCCCCTTCACAACGTCCAGATGTTTACTTTTTTCCACCATTTCTTCATCTTCAATATTGCTGAAGTACTTGATGGCATCAAGAGGTTGCGTTTCAAACAGCCACTTTGCCGTTTTAACGTCCCCGGACTCAACTTCTTGTTTGGAAATGCCCTTAATAATTTGATATTTTTCAATGCTCTCATCAAACTGATCAATTGGTCTTGTTTCAAACATCCATTTGTAAGTTGTTACGTCTCCTTTAACAACCTCTTCACGGCGCACTGTTTTAACCTCGTGGAAATACCCTGAGCTGTCTTGCATGGCGTACAATGCTGAAGATTCAAAAAGGTTCTTGTTTGATTTAACAGAGCCAGATGGTATGCCCTCAATGTGAATTGTTTGAGATTCTTTACCCGTGTTCAGTTCAGTGGTCTCAAAGATTTGTTTGTAGTTAGATACATCTACTTTATCTATTTCTTCCAGGTCAATTGTGCGAATAATTTCTTTCCTTTCCTCTCTAATTTCCTCCAGAGGTTGGCTTTCAAATCTCCATTTCTGATGTCTAACATCACCCTTCTCCTCATTAAGTGCAACAGCCTTTTTCAGTTTGCCCACCTCTGCCAGCTCCTTCAAGTCTTCTCTTGGAACTGTTTCAAAGTATTGTCTGGCCGATCTCACATTACCTGCAATGACGTCTTCTTTTATCAAAGGGTGGGTATTCGAATCATCCTTTAAAGTATCCATTGGCTGAGTCTCAAACACCCAGCAGTTCCTACGAACATCTGCTCTGCAGCTGGTGCCATCCTCCTGTGTGAGGTCGTCTTCAACATTTACAGTACGAATGACCTCTTTCTTGTCCTCTCTTATTTGTTCTAGAGGTTGGCTTTCAAAGCGCCACTTTTGGTGTCTCACGTCCCCTTTCACATCTTCATTTACTGCTGCCATTTTAAGTTTTCCCACCTCGGAGTAATTCTTCCTGGCAACTTGGGGGCTGCTTTCAAAAAAGTCCCTTGCTGATCTAACATTGCCCCCAATAATGTCTTCAATAGACTGGGGTCTAGCATTGGAGTCATCCTTTAGAGAATCTGTTGGCTGTGTTTCAAAGACTAAGCAGTGTTTACGCACATCAGTTCCAACAATTTCTTTCTTCTCCATTTGTAAACTTTTCCACTCACTCAGAGAGCTAAATGTCTTTATCTCAAACAGCCACCTGCCCCAGTCTCCTTTACTGCAGTCCTCCATGGAAAGGCTGCACACAAGTTTCAAAGGAGTGACCTCTCCGTTGGTCATATCCAGAGGCTGGGTATCAAATAGCCAACGTGAAGCAATAGAATTTTCTAATTCAGTTTCAATTTTGCGCACAGACTTTATTTCTAGCATCTGGCTTGATTGGCCCATGATGACACATTTAAACTGAGTGTCAAAAGTGCTGGTTATGGTTTTAAATTCTTCTGTAATTTCCTCTAACACTGATCGTAGGCTCAGCAGGTGGCTCTCATCGATGGTTTCAGTGTGGCCAAGACTTTCCATGAATTTACTGTCAATCATGTAAATAGCAGCGTTTCCATCCTCTTCAGTAAAAACAATCTCTTTTGTTAGATCCTCCTCTTTGTGCATTTTGTTCAGAGTGTCCATAGTTTGGGTTTCAAACAGCCAGGCCGCAGCACGGACATTACCTTTGTCAAATTTGTTAAATTTGTTTTTCGATTCTGTTGAGTCTGTGTTCAGTGAACCCAGCTCATCTATTGACTTGGTCTCAAACATCCGTGCTGTGCGTCCCACGTCCCTTCCAGCAATTATTTCTTGTTCAATTATTTTCATGCCATCTTCGTCCTCATCGGGAGTTTCGTCTTTAATGGCATCCAGTGGTTTATTTTCAAATATCCAACGCATTGCTTGCACCTCCCCGGGGAGAATCTCCTCCCATTCCTCATATTCCTCTTCGTTCATCTCATCGGGACTGCTGCCATCATCCTCATATGTGTATGGTTGGCTCTCTACCTGGTTGTTCACAGTTTCATTGTATTCACTGTAGAACTCTTTCTCAATATTCTTACGCACCTCAGGATGAATGTGTCTGTAAAGACGCTTCAGCTCAGACTTACTCTGCTGCTTGATGTAAGCCTCTCTGTTGAATGGTTGTTTGGATGGGTTTACTGGCTCCGGAGGCTCATGTGAGTAATGGCCTGCTAGGATATTTTCACTGTCTGATGGCATTTGTAACAGGTCCGGAGGAGGGGGTGGGAGATACTCAGAATCCTCAGCTGGAGGGGGTGGGAAGTCTTCATAATCCATCACTGTGACTGTGTCTTGTGYAGCTTCAGTAGGGACTTCTTTGTGCGCCACAGCAGTCATGTTGTTTTGGGTCACATTAGAGGACCACTTAGACTGACTGATGTTGTGTCCAATCTTTGTGAAGAACAAAAATACATTTCTCTGTAAATTATGGCAAAGCTATAAATCCATGAGTTAAGTGTGGCTTTTATTGTAACAACTAAATCTGAAAGTTAATACAGCAAAATGTCATCTATCAACAGATTACAAAAAAAGTGGTTTCACTTCTTCTACTCTCTTTCCAGCAGCAAAGAAACCAATAATTTACAAATGCTATAAATCTAAAGGCTTTTAAGCCGCATAGCTCAAAAATATGTTGTAGTTCAGTGAATTTTCAGTGTTGGTGCTAAATTGAATCTCTCGCAGAGATTTTTAAACTTTAACAGAATGAATGCCATCATATGTAGGAGTTTAATGGGTTTAAAAAGATATCTAAGATGTTTTAAAGTCAGTCTTATTTGGGAAGTTTTGAGTTGTCAATATCTTACCTGCAGCAGACAACACTTAGAACAATCTCAGTTTGGAGGAACAGAAAAAATAATCATGGAATATTCGAGCAAAGCTATTTTACAAAGATTTATAACATCTTTTTTTCAACAAATGTTTTTTATTGATATTATTCTTTACCTATTTACACTGAAGTTTGGAAATTATTGGAAAGGTCTATTGCAATACGTTTTTGCAAAAACATGGGTGGTAATGGTAAACTAATTATTTGATTTTTTTTTACTTGATCAAAGCAACTGAAACAAAATAAAGAAGTACAAATGCCAATAAAATAACATTTACATGAATTGTTATAAATATTTGGTAGATTGTTTTCTTTCCAACATTTAATATTTTCTTAGGAAATGCTTTAAGCTGACTAGCCATCAACTCAACTCTATTGTGATCATTTCTCTCTGATTCCACGCTACTGGGATCCCACTAATTGTTGTCTACTGCAGGTAGGATGCTGACTCCTCATAATCTCACATAAACTCCATACAGTTTGAACTGATCCTTTTAAAACAAGTGATATTCATGGATAAAGGTGTTCATATTTCCTTAACTTAATCAAGTAATATTGCTTCTCGAACCTAACCAAAGTGTCACATAAAAAATAATAATAAAAAATGATAAAGATATTACCTTAATGGGTTTGCGTGAAGCAGCCTCCTCTATTGTTCTTTCAAAGTGATCTCTCAGTTCTTTTGTGGTATATCTGGGAAAGTCCTCTTCTAATAATAAGCACAGTCACAAACACAAAAGATAAGTTAAAATTAGCTTAGTGTTGACAATAAACAGAAAATAGCAAAAACATGGGATGGTTTTTAATAACTTCCTACCTGTTTCATTTTGATGATTTTCATAACTGGATGCCAAGTTATTGTCACGGCATGTTACCTGTGTGCATTTTAAACAGAAAATGAAACTCCAAAAACCATTTATGTCCCTGAATCTTTTTTTCCCAATGAAATGTCATTTTAATCTCAATATTCTAGACTAATAAACCCAGTTTAATCAGTCTGACTGATTATGTAATAAAAAATACTTTGCATATTTGTCTAAATCTCACTGGATTATGAATATCAGAGTCTAGTTGGTGACTCAAACTTGACTCAATTTTCAGTTGCYGTTTCACTGAAGTCTGAGTATTTGCAACCAAGTAGCCATTGAGCTATGGAGTTGTGTTTTGCATGACCAATTTTTGAAAATTGCMTTTTTTAGTGCATGGTGTGCAAGACTGTTTTCTAGGCTGCACACATTGTTTTATTGCTCACATCCACCCACATCATACCAGACTCAAACAAGTAAACAGTGACAAAATTTGCAAGATATGCTAGAGACTCCCTCACAAATGCTGTTCTCCAACTTGTTGCGGTCGCTGCCCAGTGAGAGTGCCCACCTTCAATAACAGGCTTGCTTAATAAATATGCATACCATAGTTTCTTGGAAGAGTGGCTGCTGACTGCCTGGGATGACCTGCCTGCCGCCACTTGACACTGTCACCTCTGATGTTGACATTTCCTGTGAGGGTAAAGAAGATGTTAGTCAAACATGGTAAAAATATATACGTCTCACATGGATGTTACTCATATGACTCAATCAACCACATCTTCTGCACTCTTTTCATGCCCACGAATGCGTGCTGACTCCAGCCCAATTTACTGTGCCAGTCAAAGCTTATGAGTCGACCAGAAAACACCATGCAGAGGAGATGCTTGGACAGATTGCTTATTGCACTTTCAAATGACTGATCACAGATGGAGGCAAGATGACAAAGAATGTGCCAGTCTGTTCAGTCATGCTGTCCCTTTGCAACATTACAGATACAAATTATTTTATGCTGCTTTGTTAACTTTCTGCAGAAATGAGCCACAAGATAAGTGAAAATGCCTTGGAGACTTCATGSAAGCTGATGGAAATGTCACGTTATGCCTGCTACCTACACATTCTGGCAGAGGTGCRAAAAGAAAAGCAAATAAGCTTACTAGCAATACATGAAGGAATGTATTTTTCCTTCTAAAGTTCCCATGCATGCAGTATAAATGAAATGCCAAATGTTAGAGTCCAGCAGAAACCAACTCAGGTCTTGACAAAACGTTTCCACGGTTCTCAAGCTATTTGTCTAAACCTAACAAAGCTTATTGTTGTGAAAATTGTACCTGCTGTGTTTTGTGGTGGAAATGAAACTGAGTTACATTTTGTGACAATACGGTTTCCTGGCTTTCAAATCGTTTTYGCACACTTGCAAGTCCCCCAGGCAGGGAACAGACTTCTGACTCATCCATGACCTAATGAAGTAGGAAAGATCGTTATCYACCTCCACTTCTGCATGACCTGAGTTCAGATGTTGGTTTTTTTGTGTTCAAAGACACATACAAACATTTATTGAGTTTGTGCATTAGTATCAGATCTCTGTAGGAATAGTTTAAAAAAATTTCTAAAAAAAAAGGTAAACTAGTCAGTTTGCTAATTTAATTTATTTACAATGTACAATAAACTGACCAGTTTTTATAGCTGCAAAACTGTCATCAACTCAAACAATGATGCTAGCAATTTAGTTTATCTGTGTCACTTTAAAGTGAGAAAACAAGCAAATTGGCAAGTCTAGGTTATCAAACAGCTACTTTTTGAGTTTGAAGCAACACACGTGCATGCAGAAGTCAAAGTACCCCGCTGGGGATGGTGCTGTCTGCTCGCTTGGAGACAGCTGCCTGGTACATGGCCTCACAGTTAGCCCGTGGGATGGGATCTGAGTCTGCAGAGAGAATCCTGATTCCTCTGGTTTCAAACTTTAAGGATGTCCAGCCCTGGTTTAACCTTTACTGCCAGCAGCTGAGGCACAAAACAGTCAACATTTGGAGAAAAGCGCTGCTATTATTCCAACATATTCCTTTTTTTTCTTTTTTCATTTGGTTGTTTGTTCCACTCAAATCTTAAGAGCCTCTTAGCTKCACACCAAAGCGAAGAGGATCAAATCACTGCAGTCAAACTTTAGTGGAAAAATAAAAATGTAGGACTGGTTTGAAATGCTCTTARTGAAAATCTTCCTACACAAATGCAACAGGTTTTAATTTGAAAATCTAAAAGATCATGAAATATRAGCCAAGGAAATGCTTACAAGGTGCTGCTGCAGTGCCACAATATTCATCTGAAATCTAATTTAAATCAGTTGCACTCCTGTGTCCTGACATTCAGTAACTCCAAGGATAGAAACATTTTATTAAAAGGGTTGTAAACAACTATCTAATGTCAAAGTCGTTGCTATGCAGSACAGTGATTTTTGATGCATGCCTCCTGAGTGAAAACATTTGGAATCAAATGATGTGAATGTTTTGTCTAATATAGTGAGGTCCTCATTACCCTCCTAGATTAATGAACTCTTCAGTTGCTTTATAGACATGTGACATTATGGTTTGGATCATTTTGAGTTTTTATGAAGGTCATGGAGATGTTATATTTTCAAATTGCTGTGCAAACACTTATTACAAGTCCTCTTTATAGATCATATTTCTAATCTAAATAAGAGTGTCGTTTTATAGAGTAGGTAATCGTGTTTTTTTTGTCCATTTAACCTTAGCCATAATTTTCTCCAGCTGTCTGCAAAACAAAAGCTTCTCCCTCCTCCAACTGCTAACATCCACAGCAAACCCATTCTTGGAATATTAAGCGTTCACTTCTCAGTTAATGTTAACATGAAATATGCTGATGCAAAAGAGAAAATGRCATTTACATTTAGATGGTTTTGCCTGAAAGTAGCCAAAACCTTTCTTGTAAATAAATTTATTTCACACTATATAAAAAAGAAAACATTAATGAAAGTCAACAAATTAAAATGGCCGGATACATTTGCAAAATTAATTAAGGCAGACATTTGCAAATTTAATCAGAAAATATTATTTTACAAGTCCTGAAAATTCAGCAAACCACCAGGGTTGGTGATGTGCCAACAGGACCAAACATATRTATTATTTTAGCCAACCCCTGAAGCTGCAGATGACACAATGAAGCATTTYAGTTTTGTAAGCTATTTAACTAAATGCAAAATCATTCCTTCTAAAGATCATAAACACACAAATTTATTAAGCCAATGCTTCATTACTGTGCTTCTTCTAGCAAGTTTATATCAAATAGTTTTGTTGTTTGTTTTCTTGCTGGCAGATGTCAGATTTTGAGCTAATTAGATAAAACCTTGTATAGTTTGATGTCTGTGTCAAGAAATGTGAATCAAAGCAATTTAAGTGTCTGCATCTCATCTCCTTTTTTTAATCTTCAGCATAAAAACTTCGTAAAAGTGGAAACTAAACATTTCAGTTGAGTCCGTCAACAGGCTCAGGCTATCACATGGCATGTCAAGTCGGGGTGAGAGCTCAAATAGCAAGAAAGTGAATTTATCTCGGCGCCACACACTTGCAAAAATAAATCAAGCCTATTTTAGACTTTACCGTGATGGGTCGTGTTTCTCTGCGAAATCTAGAGGAAAGCTGGGAGGTCAGGGATTCACTTTCCAAACGCATCCAGAAAACTTTTACTGATGGTCTTTTTCTAGAGACTGAATTTTCCATTATTTTTCCTGATTTCTACATTTCATGACCTGGCACTGAACAGATTAGGCTGACAGCTAGAAGGTCTGATAGTTTAATGTCCTTTGTTTGGAGCTGATTAACAAATCAAATTGTCTTTCCTTGAGCTAAAAGTTCACCTTATTTAGCATTTTAGCACCTTGATTTTTAATTYGCCTCCAAATACCTTTAAAGAATGGAAGTGCACTCATTCTCATCATGGCAGATGAACATTTTCTCTGTATTCTGAGTCAGAAACATGAAAACTTAACTCTAATTTCCTCATCTTTGTAAATTTCCACAACACTTAATCGATCTGAGACAAAACCATCTCTTTAAAAAAGCTTACCAGGGAACGGTGAATCTGAAAAATACAAAAATTCAGTTCAGAAAGTAAAATCCCACTGTGAGGCCACTGCACCCCYGGTCTGCAGGGTCTTTCCAAGTCAAAAGCAAATCCCAGTCAGTGATGGAGACCAGCTCCAGTTCTCTGTGTTCAACTCTGTCCAACAAGCAGACAGTGACAGCTGATTTTATTTTAGACCCTCCGCCCATTTGCAAAAAATGGTCCAGGGGTGTTTTTTTTTTTTTTTTTTGGATGACTTCAAGCCTCCTATATCAAGTCCCAAGAAAATCTATACAGGAATACTTGCTCTGACTCCTTTAGAGACAGTTGTACACAGTTAAATCGGGTCATTTGGGTTTCATCATCACATCTACCACCAGAGTGCATACCATAGTCCAGCAGCTGCCGCCGCCTGTCATGACACACCAAACTGTGCTTTTACAAATCTCCAAGACAAATATTCTGAGAATCCATCATCATTCCCTGCTCCTAGAACTCCTAAAGCAGCCCAAACTAGATGTCAAGCAGGTGCAAATTCATGAGACGTTAAACAGTGTTTACATGTGTTGAGCCTAAGCTTTGCAGCTGGTCCGAACTGGTATTGGTGATGTAATGCTATGTGTTGGGAAGCGCCGAGTTCAAGATGCTGTAAATACAAGAGACACCTCTAAGTGTGGAAGAGCTGGCCTGCTCGTCTTGTCGAGCCAAGCTGCAGACTGTGGCGCCAGCCTGGCTCTGGTATCTGATGGAAGGTGGGTCTGAGTTTGGAGACCAGATGGGGTTCTGTGCCTGGCATCGGCTCAGCCCTGTTCGTTCACGGCATGTGTAACTCATGCCTGCATTTCTAAACACCACCTGCTATGAGGAGAATTTTTAGAGYTTTGATCATTTTTCTGTGCATTTAAGTCCTTCCTGTACAACTTCTGTTATGGGTAAAGGTAAATGGACTGAACTGTATACAGCAATTTTCTATTGCACCATCATACTCAAAGTGCTTTATAATCTGTGCCCTCATTTTCCCATTCACACAGCACTCTACTATATGTCTCTACAAAGCAGATCATTCTATAGAGACCAGTGCTTAAATCACATTCATACTGTGATGGGACACATTACAGGCAGTGGTATAAAGGTACCTCAAAATTATGCTTGAGTAAAAATACATGTATCTTACCATGAAATCACTTTGGTAAAAGTTAAAGTCTCTCTTAAGAATATTATTTGAGTAAAAGTCTTAAAAAATCCAACATTTACGTTTCAAAATTAAATTTCTAACACAAAATGTGCTTAAGTATTAAAAGTAAAAGTACTGAGTAAAATTAAGTGATTAGACTTTCTAAAACAACATTTTCTGGGGGGTGACATCCTCCCTAAAGAAAAAAAAAACATTAGAGGCTATAATGATAAAATTATAATTTTGAAAACTTTGAGTTTCTCGTAAGCTTGATGTTTCAGTCTCTCTCTCTCTCTCTCTCTCTCTCTCTCTCTCTCTCTCTCTCTCT